AATTTTTACCTAAAATTCCATTTTCATAAAAACATTAGATCAGAGAAAACTGCGCCTGTACATTCTTTCTCTGACTCATATAAAATCACTTTTACCTCACATTGGCTCTCATTTTGCATTACTTTAAACAAATTTTAGTCAGATCTGATTGTAGAGATGCTTTTTTTTTTCAGGAACTGAAGCTATCATTCCAGAAGGAACTAGAAAATGAACAGCTACCTGAATTTTCACGCATTTTGATGAGGCTGAATGTTTCAGTGCTATCGCCAAGAATTCACAATGTTATTATTCCCAGGTCAACTTATAAGGTCCGCAAATCTTGCAAACAGAATTAAAAAAAAAGCCTATAAGTGAATGAAACAGTGACTATTAAAAAATTACTGAAGGGTTCCGGGAGTGGTTTTCCGAACTGTTACATGCAAGGGTATCAGTTTTCAATTGGACTAGACTTGCCGGTTGAACCGTTTGAAATTTTTGCAGGTTCTTCCAAATGACACGGTAGAAATGAGGATGCGTGGTGGTTCGGTGCAGCTTCAGGGCTTTTATCGTGCCGTGTATCGGACAATCCGTGAAGGAGAGCTAGCAGCTAATCTAAGTAGCTTCGCGATCAATTTGAAATTCAAGATTAGCACGACATTCGCCGGAAAGTTACTGGTTAGATCAAATTCGTTCTGTTCAGCACTCTTGTTTCCTTTAATCGCAAAAACCTTTGATAAATTACAAAAGATTCAAAACACGATAAATGTTATCTGGGGAAAACAATAATATATCAGGTGTTATTCAGAAGACAAGGTTCTCATGTAGCTTCGAGTAAGACAGTTGCAAGTTAATTCAACTTTCCACCTTTCCGATAACATTTGGGTTTCAGCTGGAGAATGTTGTCTGCGATGCAGAAGTACGCGTAGTTGACGTTCAGTTGGTACCAAAATTGCATGATTTGGTTGATGAGGGCTTGCGAACTGCATTTGACGAGCACACATCTGTTGTTATCTGTGAGACTTTGGAATCATATATTGCCAAATTCGAGGAGCGCCTCAATAAACTCATTCGTTCGCCGCTCGTCGCTATCAGGGTAAGAATAGCTGCGCTTTTTTTTACGCTGCAAGAGTGGTGCAAAATTCACACTGTCAAGATATTTCATATGTATATGTGTGTGTTTAATTTTTGTTCGAGATTTTCAGTTCAGCAGCAAAAAAGCTAGAAAACTTTAATTTTGGGAGGTTACTCCCTGCCCATGTGTAACCCTCTAGATTTGAACTTAGTTTCTACGTACTTCTCATATGCAGCTGCGTAAAAGTTTAAGGGTGAAGTTACAGGCATCTTTCTAGCTGTACTGAGAAATAACTGCATAAAATGTGTGATCACACGGACTACATGGGACACACCGAGATTTATTAAATTCATATTGCTAGCAGAGTAGTTCAGTGCACAGTTCTCCAATGTAATTAGAATTCTGCGATAAGTGGCAAGTTTAGAAGGCCTTGGGTGACACTCTAGCAGTAAATAATGCGCAGTTACAGGAGTGCAATCTTAAGCTGAATGTTTTCAGCTGGGCTACTTTCAGCCGGAAACATTCAGCCTAGGACTGTGCTCTATTTTCTTTGATCAGCTGCAACTCACAGCCTCCTACCACAGCCACAACTGACGTTTTTCCCAGTTGCTTGACCAATGCTGCAGAACGTGGGAATCAGCGTCCAGGCATCTTGAAGCTCCTTTCATCTTCTGAAGGGAATACCGACTCAGTGGCTCTCTTAACAGGAAACACGCTAGCAAAGCTTTAACGAGTTTGGGATTCAGTGGTGTTTGTTCCACGTCACTACTGCATCCCCAAGGGTTGCTATTCCCAGACTAAATAGATAGAAGGGAATGGGAAGATTCGATTTTAACATTTCGTGTGAAATAAGCTAATGCAAGGGAGGGAGGGGGACGCCGGGAGGGAGGGGGGAAAGGGAGGGAACTTTGAGACACATTACCGTCTAAAAAAGTTAGTCACATATAATTAACAGAGCATTCTGTATTTGTGCTATTTTTTTGCAGTACAAAGATATCATGGAACATTTGCTGATCGATACAACAATCAGTTATGGTATTTCGTTGATGGAAGATTATTTTGATTTTCCGTTGGTTGGAACACCAACAATCAGTAAAATGAACACTACCTCACTACATCCGTTGGTGGTTTGTTCATTATCTTCTGATTTCCATGGTATTTCTCCATGATTTCTGTAGAGAAATGTATCTGTGAAATTGTGCTTGTCTGTCCAGATAACGCGAATAATGCAGAACTACGAAAAGCTTGTGTCGCAAAATTACTGTGGTACCAGTCATCTACAAACTATGGATCTCTAATTTTGCTGATCATCTTTTGTGCTCGGTCTAAGATCTGCACAATTCTATCAAAAAAGACTGATAGGAAGTAACTTAAGTTGCGTATGTTAGACTTATCAAAATGGTACCGGATGGGTCAGATCATTTTAGCTTAGTACGAAATAAATTTGTAATCAAGCTGTACAGCTACGGATTTTGAGCGTTTAAGAATTGTTGCACGGAGATTTTATACAGCTACAACTTCAGTGCCTAAGAGAAACTAATTAAAACGAAATCAATTCAAATTCCGATATTTATGTTGCTGTTATTGTAGCTGCTTTTCTTACAATTCAAGTATAAAAAAAGCTACATATCTAAGGGACTGAACCGCCAAATTGCGGAAATATAGTCTGGGATCCTTAAATTACAGCGAGGGAGCTTGAAAAATTTGGAAGCGGAGGACAGAGGGAATGGAAGGTTAAGGAACGAAGACAAGTGAAGAGGAAATGAAAGAGAGCACGAACTTTGTGGCACTTCATTTCTAATCAAAGCCATAATTGTGTTTATAGATGTTCCATATTTGCAGAAACTTCCGGAAGACAAATCCAAAATGGTTTACATCTATATAACGGAGTTTGTGCTCAATTCTTTCTTGAAAAAACTGGACACATTCGGGAATACCGCACTGCTGCTATCTGCAGTTCCTGAATTCGACGGACTTCTGCAATTAAATTGCTCTGAAAACCTAGAATGCATGGGCGATTTTCTGCAAGACGCCGAGCCATATCAATTTGATTCAGGTGAATATATTTTTCAACTAAAATGCGTCACAAAGTTAAAACTTTCTTTTCTATTCCACTCTGTTCGGAAGGAAATAACTCGAATGGTTACTGTTTGTCAGTAGGAAGTGGAGGCTGGTGAGAGTGTCAGCAGCTTTCCCTTTGGTATTGAAAAAGACGTCAAAGTATAAGTGCACAAAAATATAAAATTACTACTTGCTGGTATAATTTATTAAGAATATCAAGATCACCCGGGCAATCAGTGTTGGGATTTCATGTTAATGATGTTGTCGGTATGATCCATCAGACTGCCAATGCAAAAATGCTAATGCAAAAAGCCAAAAATACAAAATCTAATCTTTGGTCCTTGATCCTTTCCACAGTTATTTGTCTACATTAGTCTTAACTATTGCTCCATCTTCAATTCCCAATAGATTAGCTGCCTGATCACAGTTCAAAAGCTGAAATGTTCGAGACGAGACGGTGGTGCTAAAAACTGTAGTGCTGGTAATTAGGAGATGGAGCTCAAGTCAGATTCATGAGCGAGCTGATCACCAGGTGAAGAAGCACTGAACAAAACAACTAAAAATGCTACCAGCTACATAGTTGGAAAATTGGTTTGTGCGTCTTACGAAAGTATTAAAGTAAATACAGGTTTTTCCTGGGAAGATTTTAAATATGGGTTTTTTTCGGAGAAGATTTTCATGGATATAGCGGTTTTTTGGTTACGGCATCAGCAGCTCGAGCTTGATTTTAATCGTATTGCAAATGAATTTGCACTTTTCAGGAACTATGTTGCTCAAAATGCGCTCGCCAGCAGTAGCTACGCTTCGAGATGGCTTTATGCTACTGGACCTCAATTTAAAAGTTACAGTGAGTTATGTGCAAGATGGAGTGGACGTAAATGTGCTGGAATTTGACTGGCTCCTGACAGTTCGCATTAACAATGCTTTTCTGAATGAACATCTTGTCTCAAAGGTACTGTTTTTTTAAGAGCTGAGTTAAGAATTTCTAGTGACGTGTATAAGTGAATGGAGAAATGTATCGCACTTCCGTATTTCTTCCCTCGCCCGTTCCCTTTTCTGCTGCACACTCCTCTCTGCCATCCTCCAACTTTTTGACGAAAAGCGCCGAATCCTTCCTGCTGCAACGCAAAAGAAACTTAAGTGGATAGAAAAAGACTTTTTTTATGCGAAGGCCAGTAGTCATAGTTGAAGTGACCAGGCCCCCGAGATTTCTTTCGTTGCAATAAATTAACTTCAGCAAACAACCGTAAAAGTCGAAAGAAGGGTAAGGAAGACCAAAGCGGGTTGGACGAGTTATAATTCAAAATAGGAGGTAGAAGATGAAAGGTTTGGGGAGGCGAGAAGGGGGGGAGAGGTGAGGAGAGTGGGACAGAGTAAGGAAAAAAGTTGAGAGAGAACGGCTTCAGGACCTAAGAATAATCGTATTTTTGATGTAATGAGCTAGTAATAAGCTTTTTGTGCAAATTTTCGTTCGTTTACATTTAACAAAATCATTCAACTCTTGCATCAATAAACACGATAATAAAGGAATAAGCCAGCTACCGTATCACTGGAAGAAACATGTACGTGCTTGCAGGATGAGGCTGTGCGAATAACAAATGCTACTCTCAGTTTGGTAGAACTAAAAATGAGCGGAGTGACGCCTTACGTTGAAATGGTACCCAACTTTACTGAACACCTACAACGCTTAATTGTATCCAGGAGAAAAGCACTGGAAGTTAGTTTTGGTCTCTCCTTTGCT